TTATCTCTATGATGGGATCTGCTGTGAGTAGCCAATCAGTTGAAAGGGATTTTCCTTGGGTGTGTGGCCTGCAGCGAATATATGTGAACATTCTGGCAAGGCTCATGGGCTTTTGCTCACTCTGGATCCTGCAGCTGGCTCCTGTTTATCTGACCTCTGGTTCTTGGGACTTGAGCTAGCAGCTTACCTGTGATCTTGCCTGCTGATCTTGGGATTTGTCAATCTTCAAAGCCTGTAAGACCCCTAATCTCTGATCTGCCTATCTTGGGTTCACCAAACCGTGTGGTTACGTGAATCAGGAGAAGCCTCTACCCTGACCCACGGACTTGGGACGTTACAGCCTCTACAACCGCATGAGCCATTTCCTTGAAAAAATCTCTCTCTATATTTATACACTTTACTGGTTTTGCTTCTCTAGAGAACCTAGCCTAAGACAGTGGGTCTGAAGAATATAGAACCCTGGGGAACATGAATTCTTTGGAATAGACTACGCTGGGGCAGTTGGAGTCTCTCTCTACAGAATTTGGAATTGGGATTTAGGAACTCCAGAAGTCTCTTTCGACTGCTTGAACTAGAGATGATATATGGTCGGTGTGGGTATGTATTTATTGTATGTGCATGAGCATGTGTGCACGTGCATGTTGGCAGGGTGTGGTTGTCTAGGGTCCTGCCATACCGTGTAGTACCACTTGATTCTTGGGAACCGTTACAAACAGTGGAAATGCAGGCCGCCCTGCTACCCAGCTGACACTTCCCACTCTCAACATTACTCATTCTCTCATGCCCCTTTTTCTATACCCTGGCAGTATCAAGTCAATGACTTGGCAATTTTCAGACCAGAGACAATCATTAATTCTCAAGTTGGGGGAAGTAATGGTTCAGGGGGCTCAGGCACCCCTAACATGAGTTATTCAATTGGTGACTAAGGCCCTCCATTAGTCTTGGGAAAGGGGAAACTCCCTACCCTCTCTCACAAAGTAAGGAGAAAGAGTAGCCACTCTTCTGGAACACTGCACTCTCCCCAATAACGTGACTTTTACCTCTCCCTGTTTTACCCTTATATGGGAGAGGGAATGACGGCGATGGTGTGCTGTTCGCAAGGTCCATGGGGGAAAGGACAGGCCCCACAAACTGATGCTTCTTCAAACATAGAGTGGGGTGGGGGAGATTTTAGAACCTTGTAGTCTTGGCTATGGGCTTAAAAACAGGATCCTATTTCACTTACAGTGAAAGAACTCATGACAGAGGTAACTATATGAGTTGGACTCCACCAAACATTGCTTTATATAATTAGAGGCATAAGGGCATCACCTGTGGCAGATAGTTACAAATATGTCTATAAGGCAAATTTTAGAAATGGTTCAGAATTGGTTTTTCATAGTGTAGTTCATTACTCCCCACACATCTGTTAGTTTGTCATACTGTGGTGGCTTGCAAGTCCAAGCTGCATTTCTGAAGGCATTAGTGAAAAACAAAGCTCAGGGAACTGACGGAATACCACTGAGATGTTTCAACAAATGGATGCAGTACTGGAGGTGCTCACCCGTCTATACCAAGAAATCTGGAAGACAGCTACCTGGCCAACCAACTGGAAGAGATTCATATTTGTGCCCATTCCAAAGAAAGGTGATTTAACAGAATACGTAAATTATTGAACAATATCATTAGTATAATACACAAGTAAAATTATGCTGAAGATCATTCAAAGGCGGTTGCAGCAGTATATCCACAGGGAACTGCCAGAAATTCAAGCCAGATTCAGAAGAGGACATGGAATGTGGGATATCATTGCTGATGTCAGATGGATTTTGTCTGAAAGCAGAGAATACCAGAAATATGTTTACCTGTGTTTTATTGACTACGCAAAGGCATTTGACTATGTGGATCATGACAAATTATGGATAACATTGCGAAGAATGGGAATTTCAGAACACTTAATTGTGCTCATGTACAGTATATAGATCAAGAGACAGTCGTTGAACAGAACAAGAGGATACTCTGTGGTTTAAAATCAAGAAAGGGTTGATACTCTATCTGTATGCTGAGCAAATAATCCAAGAAGCTGGACTATATGAAGAAGACTCATTAATAACCTGCAATATGCAGATGACACAACCTTGCTTGCTGAAAGTGAAGAGGACTTAAAGCACTTACTGATGAAGATCAAAGACTACAGCCTTCAGTATGAATTACACCTCAACATAAAGAAAACAAAAATCCTCACAACTGGACCAATAAGCAACATCATGATAAACAGAGAAAATATTGACGTTGTCAAGCATTTCATTTTATTTGGATCCACAATTAATCCCCAATGGAAGTAGCAGTCAGGAAATTAAATGACGCATTGCATTAGGCAAATCTTCTGCAAAAGACCTCTTTAAAGTGTTAAAAAGCAAAGAGGTCACTTTAAGGACTAAGGTGCCCCTGACCCAAGCCATGGTATTTTCAATCGCCTCATATGCATGTGAAAGCTGGACAATGAATAAGGAAGACCAAAGAACTGACACCTTTGAATTATGGTGTTGGCGAAGAATACTGAATATTCCACAGACTGCCAGAAGAAGGAACAAATCTGTCTTGGAAGAAGTATAGCCAGAATGCTCCTTAGAAGCAAGGATGGTGAGACTTCCTCTCACATACTTGGGACATGTTATCAGGATGGACCAGTCCCTGAACAAGGACATCATGCTTATAAGGGAGACTGTCAGCCAAAAAGAGGGAGACCCTCAACAAGATGGATTGACACAGTGACTGCAACAATGGGCTCAAGCATAACAATGATTATGAGGATCGCTATGGACTAGGCAGTGTTTCGTTCTGTTGTTCATAGCGTCGCTATGAGCTGGAACCGACTTGACGACACCTAACGATAGCAACAAAAACAACAGTAGTTCATTACTGTTTATGGAGCATTGTACCATTTAACTTAATGCCTGGACTGTCACTGACCAGGTCCCAATCCAGAAGTATATTAAAACCTTCCAGAGCATCCCTGACATTCTACCTTACTTTCCAATGAAGTTTCCTCCTCAAGGTGCATATCCTCCCTTCCAGAGCCAAAGGAGCTTTAGTCAGAGCTGATCCTAGATTAAAGACCATCTCAGGAAAGGAACATCTTTTCATCTATTTTAATCTCCCATTTAATTTAGTATTTGGCTTTTGTTTATTGTGTGAAGGCGTTTATTCCCTCCTCTCCACGTGGGCCACTCCATAGGACTGTTTGAGTAGCACATCTTGGAGGCTGGCTCCCCCCAGGATAAACAATTGAAGAGACTAAGGTGAAAAACTACAACCAGTGCCCCTTTATGACCTAGCCTCACAAGTCACACACCTTTACTTGTGTTGTATTCTATTGGTCACACAGACTAGCCTTGAGTCAAAGAGGGAAGAGACTGAACAAACCTGGATACCAACAGGTGAGGCTCATTGGGGGGTCATCTTGGAGACTAACTACCAAGGATCCTAACATCTTGATTTTCCCATAGTTTACTTCATAAAACGAGTACTGGTAATTCTGCAACAACATATACAATTCTAGTTTTGTACTGTACACCTCTTTTAAACAGCAGCTGTGGTCTCAAACAGCCACTGTTATACATGAGTGCACCCAAGCATACAAGATTTTCTTTTAAGAGTTCCACAAGTTACAGACCCTCTGCTAGAGGGTCATTGTCCATAAATTTCATTAGGGCACTAGATTCCATCTCAAACTCTTTGACTTTGAGTAAGCAGAGTTCAAGATTGCAGATTAAGGGCCAGGAAACTTGACTCCTACCTGCTTGTAATATCTGTTAATTATCTAGGAAACACTTCAGGTTTTACCAGAAACCTTTAATTTTCCAGAAACTTTTACCTGAGTTCAGTATCCACTTTAATTAAAAAGCTTTTGCAGATTATACTAATTTGCTGAAGATGACTGACTTGAGAGGTGATTAACCAAATAGCTGAGGTAGACGTCGGGGTGGGAGAAAAGGTCATCAAGTCAGAGTTAAGGAAGACAATTTCTTACAGCCAACTTTCACCTCTCCTGCAGGATAGGCAAAGGGGCACCTTTGGGAAATCTGTTTGGGACTCCCATTTTTATTTAACCATTGATCCATTTCAATTAGTTTGTCAATTCACGGATCTAAGAAAACTTTAAGGTACTCCTGAGCTTTCCTATATTGAAACATTTTCCTCGGCGCCAAAGGTTTAGCGTGGAGACTAGGCAGCCAGAATGGGGGAGTAGAAAGCACCAACTCAGTCCAATAGAAGTGAGGTTCTTATTCCACAAACGAGGCGTCCTTATTCCAACCCCTAAGACCAAAGTAACAAAGCTAACAGCACCCATTCCCCACTTCTCAGCCAGTCATCTTTGATGACATCTTCCCTTTAATATTTGTCTTCAGTTTAATTTCAATCATCTTCCGGGTGCAAAAATATTCGTGAGGGTGAAGGGTGGGTGATTAATTAATGCCGCATTTGATACACTTTTCCGACACTGAGACTAAATCCTCGATCGTCAATTTTCACCTGGGCCTGACGGATTAAAAACACAATCTCTACAGGGGTACCCTATTTCAGCAGTCATCAATTTGTGTCCACCTCCACTTTGGTATTTTAAAGACATCTGTCGATAAAAGCCTTCAGCTCAGGCAAAGCGAGAAGCATATTAAACGACACTGCTGTCCACACCAGCCGAGGACACCCGCCTTAGTTCAACAACTCGTTGCCTCGCACTCTTATCGTCACAATCCCCCGCCCTACCCCTCCCAACCGGAACTACCGACCTCGCGCTTCCAGCTCCGCGCGCCAACTCATAGCCTGCAGCGAGCGCCCGAAGCGGTTCCCGCCGGCCCCGCCTCCCCGGACGCATTGGGCAGGCGCGGTATTCGCGCATGCTCGGAAAAAGGACCGCTGGAGTCTCGAGCAGCTGCAATCTGTTGCACCGCCGCCCGCGGAAGCCGGCAGATCCGGGTCTCGTGGTAAAGAGTGACGTGGCCAATCGGATCAAAACAGAGGTGGGGGAGGACGCCGGCGCCGGTGAGCAGCAGCGGCAGCCCAGCAGCAGTGGGGGCGTCCGGAGCGGCCGCAGTTTTCCAGAGGCACCGTTCGGTCTTTCTGCTGAGCCTTGGTCACGGCCCTCACCCTCCCCGCCCCGTCGGTTGTTGTCTGGGCGGGTGAGTGTCTCTCCTCTCTCGCCGCCGTTCGCCGGCCCACCTTTCCCCTTACACCGGCTTTTCCTTGGGGTTCCTCAGGCTTTGACGGCTGCGGCAGAACGGGTCTGCTTCTTGGGCTAAGTGGTTCACCGGCCCGGCGATTCTGCCCCAGAGAAAACCGCTGCTGCCGAGCGGGCGCCACCCGGCGAAGAGCGAGGCTGAGAGTCTGCAATTGGTCTTTTCCCTCCAAGAAGCCAGAGTCGGGGCTTGGGAGGAACGTCGACGGTAGCCACGATGGTTTTTATTTTTAGAGAAAGATAGTCACCTCGGGAGGAGGAGTTTGATGGGGTAAAAAGAAGAGGGAGAGTCGTGGCTGGAAAAAAAAAAAAAACTACGAACCCTGAAATTCACATTATAACATTTACCTCCTGTTCGTCAGCCCTTTCTGGGTATGATGAAGGCATTAGGATGCGTCCTTTGTTGTGATTGATGAGACAGGAAAGCTGCTAGCCTTAAAAGCTTTCAAGCCCCTATTGTGTTGCGAATTTAAAGGATTCCTTTTTCTGTTTATTCAGTAAAGAGAGAGCAGCCTTTCACATTGGAACAGATAATGTGCGATAAACTGGGTACCGGCAGTACCTGAAGTCCCAAATTGCTGTTTAAAACCAAAGTTTTTCAAAGTGGCTGCTTATGTATGTATTAGGATTTTAGCCAATGTGATGTTTGTTAGCTGTAGAGAATCAGCACGATGTTTTTAGTTGCCTCAGTTTGCAAAATCGAGGATGTGGCGTTAGTAGAATGTCTTGGTTTTGCGTCCAGAAGGTCGAATGAGCTTCACGCACGTAATAACGTACATTTGTAGAAGAGACCTTCCCATTTTTTGCGTTTTATTGTCAGAAACAGTTGGCAGCTATCAAACCAATAATTTGGTAGGGGTAAGGCCTTCCAGGTGGTGTAGTCTTGAGACCCGTGGGAGCCGTTCTCGCTGCCCAGTGATGTGGAGATTGTAGAAAGCTTGTGTTCTCTTCCACTTCACGCGACTGGCCACGTAGATTCCCATAGTGTAGCCCGCCGAGAACCCTGCCAACTTGCTCGCCTCTGGACAGCACTAAGGAGATCAGAGACCAAGCCTCCTGTTTGACCTAATGTGGTTTGGGAAAAAAAAAGAACATTTTTCCCAGAGAACTCGTTAATTGAAGTCTTTCTATAGTAAACAGAAGTATGTGTTAATTGATTACCCCTTATCAAATCCAGAAAGAGTTCTTATGAGTTTAGACTACTCTCTTGAAGGGTCGTCCATGTTGTGGTATAACGTAGACCTCTTTGTTAACAAATTTCTTCCTCCTGTGTAGGCCATTGAGGTAGTTGTTCTTAATACCACTGTTGGAATTCTGATTTGGACAAAAGAAATTATTTTCTTGAATTTTGTCGTTTTAGGCTTTTTGCTTTTATGCTACCTTTAAATATCTTTGCTTCTACAAAATAATTTGTGATAATTGGAGAAAACGTAGAAAAAGCAGATAAGAAAAAAGAAGAAAATAAGTCAGTCAATAATCCTGCCACCCAGAGATCACCAAAATGTTAGTGGTTTATGTCCTTCTAGACTTTTTTTGGCATTTATACATTTTATTCAAAAATGGCATACTGCGTATGTTTTTCTGTAACCCACTTTTCCACATAATAGTACTTCTTTTTTGAGTAACAAAATTAAAATTTTTGCAGATTTGGATGTTTTGACCTTAATTTAAGGACATATTCACTGTATGTTTGGCAAGTCATAATTTATAAAATCGTAATTTCAAAAGATTTCTTCCCAAATTTCCCAAAATGATGATATTGTAAGATTTAAGAAATTAGTATGCATTATGTGGCAAAGTAGGGCTTTGCTTGTTTAACTCTTGAGAGAACAGGCACAGAATAGCCTAAGTTGCCAATGTGGAAGTTTAAAAAGTTTTTGCTAATTAAGTGGTTTGATTCAGATATAGGCTAGTTAGTTCTGTTCCATAGCTACACTGTGGTCTGAATGCTGACCAACTGCCCAGGCCCTGGCAGTCAGAAGGTCCTAGAAGATTTTACTTTGCAAAAACATAATACAGTATACTTTATTAACATTGAGTGTTGAGTATGTGCCTGTTTTTAGTCCAGTGCTATTGAAGGCAATGCCCTCTTTCAGTTCAACTTCGAAGGATAAATAGGTACCACGAAGTTTCCTAAGTCTGCTAATAATCCACCTTGGGTCTACCTAAACCTTTAAATGTCTATTTTAATTCTGATTCTCTTGGGTAGTGAATCCCAGATGCTTACTGCTTAGCTCTTTCTCTTTGATTTGCCTTTAATTATACTGTTTCTGTATATATTTTAGATTAGCCCACTTTTTTCTATCCCTACTGCTACCACCTTGCCAGACTGTCACTGTCTCTCACCTGGTCTACTGCAGTAACCTCCTCCTGGGTCTCTCTGCTTCCACTTTAGCTTTATATGGTGCATTCCTTTTATCATAGCGTAAGATGTCCTTTAAAATGGAGAACAGATTATGTTACTGCCTTTTATAAAGTCTCTTGTTGCATTCAGAGTAAAATTCAGCTTCTTTACCAAGGCTGGCCAGGTACCACATGTTTTGGCACTGCCTTCTATCTCACCTTGTATGCCTCTGCCCAATCCAGTACCGTGCAGCTTGGCCACATCAGTTTTCTTTCTGTGTTGCAGCCCCACTGGCATTGTCTCTAGAATTTGCCAAGCTTTCTCGTGCCTTAGGGCCTTTGCACTTGCTGTACCCTCTGGCTATAATACTCTTCTCCCAGTTCTCTTCAAGGAGGTTGCCCCTCAATTATCTCTCAGTCCTCTTACTTTCTCCACAACATTTATCACTGTCTGAAATATCCCTTCTGCACTAGAAGTAAGCTCTGTGAAAATGTGCAACTTGTCTGTTTTTTCACTGCGTAGTAGATACTCAGTGAATGTTCGTTGAATGAATAAACTTGAACATGTCTGCATTCCTTTTGAACATACATGTCTATTTTAGGTCAGTTCTTTCTGTGGAAGAGCCTTTATTTTCAGCCCCTTTTTATAGGACAGTGTCTTGATTCTCTTAAGTGATTTTTGATGTTTAATTCAGAGAACACCCACATTCTACCTCAGAATTACGGAGTTGACTCTGGGAGGAATGGGTCCCAGGAATCTGCATTTTCAGCTAGTCCCTTGGGTGATTTTAATGTACATTAAAGTTTCAGGGTGTCTCAATATTTTAATGCTTTTCTCTGGGATGTTGCTTCTTGCTTTATAGTAGTAATGAAAACTATCATTTTTTGAAACTGTGTCAGGTACTATGCAAAGAACCCTTAACACGTTTCTCATTTAACTGCAGAACAGCTCAGATGTAGGTATCCCTACTCATGTTTTAAAAATAAAGGAGCTGAGACATAATAAGTGGCAGAATTTGATTTGAATCTAAGACTGTTTTCTTAACCACTCTACCTTACCTGTGAACTACAACATTCAGAACTGCACAGTTTAGTTATAATAGGCCATGTTTTTTTAAGGATAAGATGGCATTTTCTGTACCATTTCCAGTTCTGTCTTTAAGGAAGCCTGTTGCTTTGTTGGCCTTTTTGCACAGCAGTTAAGGGAGATGATCTTAAGAAACATTCTACAAAGATTCCCAGGTCTTCTTGCTTTATTTTGTTGACCTTCCAGGCTTAAGTAAATTTAGTATATTTTCTGTATATGTATTACCTTGCATTTCCCACACCAAAAACCCATCTATCACTTTCTACCTGCTCATACAGTCATTTGAATTCTTCCCGCATTTTCTCCATTAACTTGGGTGTTTTACTTGTTGGATTACCTGTGGATAATCATAAACTACAGAGATTTCTCTTTGCAGGACCCTTTTCCAGATGATTTTAAGATTGCATTGAGTTTGAGGGGACTTCAATCCAGAGAAGTAATGATTGGCCTTACTGTTTCTTCCTGCTCTTTAAACCTGGCTAACTCCCTGTTTACCTGTGGAGACTCAGGTCACACACGATCTTTTTCAGAGCTCTTTTCCTAACCCATCCCAGGCTTTTGTAAATAGCCATGCATGTCTCCCATCATTTCACTTTCCATATTTATCTTGGCCGTGTGTATGTCTCCCATCATTTCACTTTCCATATTTATCTTTGGCTGTCGCCCTATTAGTTTGGGAGACTCTTGAGGTCAGGGAGGACCAATTAGGCAATCACTAGTCTTGTTGATGGAATAAAGTAAAGATTAAAGTTGAGGCTTTTCTTTGTCTTTAAAGAACTGCATTGGTAAAATGAATTATTTATAATGATTTTTCCCATATAATTTAATAAGACTTAGAACAAAAACTTTAAGAAACAAAATTAAATTGTCTAAAATTGATAATGATAAATAGTAATACTATCAGTGTACATGTTGTAAAGATTTTGTAGAAAAGTTAAGCAATCCCAACTGTGCTTTTTTACAATGTGATTTATATTAGGATTTTTTAAGATTATAAAACTTCTTAGACAATTACTAGTACAGGCTTAAAAGTAGAGGGTGTGTGTGTGTGTGTGTGTGTGTGTGTGTGTGTGTGTGTGTGATGTGTTCATGTGCATATTCATGTTTGTCACACACAACAGCTGCTAACTGTATGAATCTTTGTTTCTGTCTTTAGTGGGCACATATCTGTAGACCTGCCTTAGGATAAAGAACAGTTTGTGTCCATCCAAAGCCATTATGAATGAGGGCTGGAAGTAATTTGAGTATGAAATTAAAAAATAATTATCTGCCTGAATATCAATAATAATGACAGTTACTATTTACGGAGCATATATACTAGTCCTTTTACCTTCCTTATGTATATTTAACTGATGAATCAACACTCCAGGTGAACTGCTTTAATGAATTTTTGGTGGCACAGTGGTTAAGAGAGAATGTAAGCCATGGCTGCTAACCAAAAGGTTGGCACTTCAAATCCACCAGCTGCTCCTTGGAAACCCTATGGGGCAGTTCTGCTCTGTCCTATAGGGTCG